GGGAATCAAACCAGTTTCACAACCCACTTTTGGAAAGGGGTAGAAACAGAGAGGAACAGCTTGCACCCCTTGCCGTCTTTCTTCTGTATGCTCAGTACCAGCCCTGCAGTTGTTGGCTAGCACACAAGAAACGTGCCTCAGCCAGCAGGACTACATTGCCTTTTTGCAATGAGAAAGAAAACATCTGGTAAGCAGAACATGTAAGAAGTCAAGGAAAGAGAACAGAATACAAAAGTCTTCCATATACCAGAACTGCTTCTACCTCCAATAACAGCCAAAGGTGGAATATGCAGCATCTACCTACGCTAGAACTTCGAGCAAACACCACTTGTCATGGAGTTTAAGTCCTGCTGGAAAGAGCTTCATCGTGGTACTTGGGGCAGACATTTAAGTTATATACAAATGCAGAGATGTACTAAGAAATTATCCAGCATAGTGGTCACCAGTCTCTAAATCATAAAGTCAGTTAACAACACAAGTATGAAAAGTGAGGTTTTTTTAGGCTATATATTTATTAGAAGCAATATTAATGTACAAATTCACCTTCGAAGAAAATAAGTGTCCTTGAGATGTTAGATTCTATCAGCCAAATTGAATGTCTGCATCAATGCCTCTCCCTAAAAGTCATAATTAGGTCATTAAAATATATTTAGAAAAATAGCCTGTAAAATAAAGTTAAAAAATACTCACCTTCATTTTATTTCATAGGTCACTGTTATACCATCTAATAAGATAATTAAAAACATGCAAGCAGCTGGTACTGAGGCTAAACAGATTAATGTAATAGTCTGTAGTCATATGTGCTGGCAAGAGGTTCACCTCTTTGGCGAGGAGAAGGTCAGCTGCCCTTGGGAAGGCAAGAGAAAGACAGCAGAAATACTGTTCCAGTGGCACTGCATTGCAGATACTGAAACTGGAGGTTTGCACCTTTTTTTCCTTTTCCTTTTGGCCAAGTCTGGCCGATTTGCACATCCAGAAAAGGCTTCAACCACGGCAGTAAAACACCACAGTAGAGCGCAGCTCAAATATTTTCCACAGGTTTCTTCTGTTTTAAAGATGAAAGTCTAATCCCTTGTTCAAATTTTTCTAATCCCTTGTTCAAATTTTTCTAATAGTGAACTTCAAACTTTGATGGCTAGGAAAGAATTTTCAAAATATCTTATTAGGAAAGCTTTTCTCAAGTACACAAGGAATACTTTCATCAGAGCCTGAAGACCAGCTAGAAAATTCTCTGTGACCTGAGAGGGTGCATTCACAAACTTACAGAATATTTAGAACTATGTGCCAGTCACATGTGCTTATCATTTACTTTACTTACAAACTTTATGACCTAAAGGGAAATGCTATCTGAACACAAGCAGCATTAAATCTCTGCCATGATGAACACAAGCAAGATTCACAAACTCTAACATGACACTATCATATTAAAAAAGAATAACAAATGGTACTATAGCACTATTGATTTATCAAAGGATAATGATCTGACATCATACTTTTAAAATAATATATACACACCTGAAGTCTTACACTAAACAGTACAACTTGTCCTTTAAAATTAAAAAAAAAAAAAGGAATCAAGTAAATTCACCCCACTGCCATGTTTTTTTTATTGCGGTAAGACAATATGCTCTAAGGAGCACTTTAATAGCAAAAAGCATTCACAATCAAGTGTTTTTAAACATTTGGAGTTGCCTCTTCTCCTAAATAAATTATAAAGAGACAGATAAAACATAAAACAGTTCTTCTTTCAGTGAAAATTTTCAGTATAATTTTGCATATATTAGCCTTCTGCAAGCAGGACACCTACTGTGATCCAAAGATGGCATGGCCTCTTTTAGGGCAAGAATCTACTACCAAAGCCTTTTTTAAATACAGTAGACTGAAACACATTGGATAAACAAGACTATCATCACTTTTATCAAATTACTAATTTACTGAAATAATAGTCATTGGAAGTATTCTAAAATAAGTCAAAATCTCCAGTAAGTCCTTAAAGAAATTGCACAAACTTACCATTGCTATCTTTCAAAGTAGTTCAAGATTCATTTTTAGTCCTTCATAAGGTATTAGCTGTTCACTTTTACACAACACTCAGCACAGAACTGTAACTATCAACACAATATTCAACCCAACCAGCAAATTTACAGCCAGTCTCATTATATGATAGGAGTTACTTGCCATCGAGCAGAAAATACTCATTTCACACCTTAAATACTGTAATGCTACTTAATAACAGTGTTAGCTTGCCAACTATTAAAAGCTAGAGTTTTTTTTATATGCTGTACTCTCTTACTTTATCATCTTGCCTCTAATTATAACAATAATTAAATACTCTAGTAGTGCAGTAAAGACATAGGACTGATTTTAAAATACACCTTAACTTCAGTTTTGTAAATTGTGCTGTAATCCTCTTTGACAGAATACGATTATTATTCAGTTGAAGTGGTAGCTAACATACTACTTACTATATGCACTTTGGACTAAGAAATATAGAGATACAAAGGCCAACTCTGTCTTCTACTTAATTGTGGAGCATTAAAAACGTGTTTGGCACATTGGAATAAGCTTAGGGCCCTACAAGAACATTTCTAACTACATAAATTTTTAGCAACAAGGGGTAATATTCCAAAAGTATTGACAAAATACATTCATAACACTTAATATGTGTCTTCCGACTCCTGAGGTTGACAAGTCACAGTGTTAAATACTGAATTCTCCAGCATTACAATAATCTCCTGTTAGCCATTTGACTGAAGCAGAGGTGGCATGGTCCACTGTTTCGGTCTCGTAAGTCTGATCAGTTACTACAATCCTGCAAAGATAGTCTTTCATACTCCACATCCTCTGTCCATGAGTAACGGGCTGCGCTAGAATGATGGATGAGTATACACTACAGTTTAGGCTGATTTAAGTAAGTGATGCCACAATCCATCCTCCCACTTACTCCTTGCTGCATGTTCCAGTGCCTTTCCAGTGCCTTGCACTGCCACCAAAATGCATCTGAACATCATCAACCTTGGGAAGGTTGATACAATGAACTAAATCATCAGAAAACTCACCCTACCAAAAATGGGCAAGTTGGGCTAGTTTAGGCCCCTGGATTGGTTCACTAACAGATGAGTGCCACTGCATGAGTGAAAAGGAGGCTATGGAGAAAGGGTAGGAGCTCAGCACCACAGCTTACTTACACTCTCAGGAAACCAGAGCCTAACTGAAGCTGGCTTCCTCTTCGAGCTTTACTTTGCTAGGTACCACCAGCTGGGGCTCTTGAGCTAATAACTTCCAGATATAAGTGTCCTAGAATTAAAGGCAGAGAAGAGCCCTCAACTCTTTGCTAATCTGACTAAATTCTATTTTACTGATTTTTCTGACACTGCTTCATGGTCAATGTATTTACATAGGTTTCTCACATGAAAAGCATCAAGATTATGTGGGTTGATATTTTTGATCCCTTCATTTAACACAAGTAGTAAGCTGCTGCTTTTGTTGTAAATGTATTGGATTAGTTAGAAATATCTTTTTCACGCATTAGAGAACGCAAATGTAACAGGAAATTGAGTCAGGCAGAACCCTGAAACAGATCTGCTACCACATTTTTCTCAAAGCAAGCATCCTAATTACACTCAAAGGGTATCATCACAAACCAGGTTTCAAGAGAACATAAATTAGCACAGGGGACTTTTTAGAATACAGAAGATTGAACGGATCTGTAAATGAAAGCTGCCCTGGCCCACCCTGTTTCTGACACCGTTCTTCTGCCTCTGTTCCAGTCTTGCTCTCAGCTCAGAAGGTTTCTCCGGGTGTTTGAATTGCAACAAACTCTTTGCTGCCCTCTCTGGGTCATTACGAAAAGTCTTTCTCCCCACACCTTCAAGAGCTGGCTTTTTGCTCCCTGCTCTTCTCAGCAGTTTCTGCAAGGGGAGTAGTCCCCGCTTGCTGAGACCAGCCCTGCCTGCCCCAGCTGAAGGCTCCTGCTGCGCAGGACAGCTCCCGGTGCCAGGAAAGGGCGGATGGTCCCCGCTCCACCATCTGCAACCAGGACAGGGCCAACTGGCAGGTTTCTCCTGCCTGCCCAGCCTCACCTCTTAAGCATACGCTACAGGAGACTACAAACAAAAAATTAAATAGATGTCATCCTCCCTAGCGTGCTACATGAATCCAGAATGATCTGGTGGTAAGCTTGATTTTATTTTACCATACTCAAGCATGAAAATCAGATGTAGTCATTCTAGTTAGCACCAATCTAACTTAGTTTAGTCTTAGGGACAAACATTTAGCATTTGTAGCACAGATCGTATTTTATTGACTGAAAGATGAAACTATACTTCTGATGACTCTATCTATTGCTTGAGTTTTCAACAACACAAGAGGCAACACTTGATTTTTCCTACTTACTAGCTCTCTGTTCTTTCAAGTACAATACATAGTCAGCTGTTTACACAAGCAAGACTCAAGCTCAATAACAGTGCTGCAAAAAGTTGTTCTGCACCATGTTTCTTTACCAACAGAACTGAAATATTATCTTACTGTCAGGAAACCTCGAATTTAACAAATCCTGGTTTTGTTTTTTAACTGTAATAATTAGTAAGCACTGTTAAGAGTTGCATGGGATCCACAGATCCAGTTATTTTGGTGAAGATCAAAAAGATGACCCTGGTGAGTAGCTTAGCTACTATGTGTACAGGTGAAAGAATTTGACTGCATTGCACGCTTTTGAGGGAAAAAAATATCAAGATAAACTAAGAAATACTGTTAGCTTACAGATATACAATGTTTTCATTAGTTAAGTGTTTTGAACAGCTTTCTCATAAAAACAATAATCTGGAAAACAAGCTTTTCAGATTGTTCCGTAATGCTTTTAATCCGTCTACTGACTGTTGCAATTGAAATTGTACAACTCTTGAAATATACAGTCTTGCTCCTTTGCTTTAAATACATTATGTTGCCTACCTTAGTCAAACTTTTTTAAAATTAGAAAATAAATACCAAAACCTACTGACCTGTAAGAAATAAATGTTCCATCAGAATCTGGGCTGTGGTGTATGCTTCCATTTTCATTAGATCCTCCTAATATGAAAATGAAAGAAAATGACTTCAGTTATGAGACTCTCTGATAACAAAAATCACAATATTAATGACAACTGCAAATGATTACATTAACTTCAGTTCATCACAAAACTTAGATGGACACTTCTCAAATTTTTGGCTTCAAAATCTTACAGCTGCCAATAGAGACAACTTGACACACTGTTCCATTTTGAATCTGATTGATCTGCAAATGAAAGATTCTTTTTCATTTGTGGTTTTGATTTAGACCTGTCTCAACTTCTTAAACACAGCTTAAATAGTTAAAAACCATAGCGGTTTATGATAAATAAATATATATATATATATATATATGTAGAGAGAGAGAGAGAGATTAATTTTATTTTACTAACACTAAGTCAAAGAATGTAAAAGTTCATCTGTTCCGTGAAGGATTTTGAGTTGATTGTATGATACCAATTTTTTTTTCCATAGCACAAGTTCAAAGCTTCTATTAAACTACTTACGTAGTATGTCTGTAAAACAAGATGTTTTATATATTTTCAGCTGTTTATAGATAGAACAGTGAAGTTCACAGAAACCTAGAACTAGAAGGAATCCTTCCTCTCTATAATAGACTTAAAAGTCAGAAGGAATCTTCTGTTTTTCAAATTAAATTCATTCATGTCCTGTTCTATAGTATTTATTCCTGCCTAACCCGTCATTTAGCTTAATACTTCTTTTAAATTCTTCCTGTTTATTTATTGCCTTAACACATTTATAGATAACATCATGTACCTTTACATCCTTTGCTCTGCTAACTGAAACCAAATTCTCTTTACCATTTTCCTAAATGAGGCTCCTTGGCCTCTCTTTTGTTTAAATGAGTCCTTCTTAAACATGGAAAAGAAGTGACAAAATTATAGACAGCACACTAAATGAAGTCTGATCCGTTGAGTCTCTGGATAGCTTTTTTTTCTGCCCTACTAAAAATGCCTTGTCTGTTATAGTCTCGTCTTGCCACATCATGTTGAATTTTCACAATCATCCTGTAACCAACATTCCCAAAGGTTTGCTCTCCTTAGTCATTTACAACAAGACAGTTGCAGTTTACAGTAAAAATTCTTTCTAGTATGATACTGTAGTTCATGTTATTTCATGCTGTCTCTTGGAAAGGTCCATTTCTGCCTGAATATTCCATTTGTGTTTGCATTGGATGCTACCTTCTAATATCGTTCCTTCGTAATAGTCCCTTAGTGCAGTCTCACACTTTTGTGCCAATGCAATGAAGAAAAATATTGGCTAAGTTCAGTCATAAACTGTTGAAGAACTCCACTAAAAATATAATTCTTACATTACAATCTGTTGTCACCTATTTGTCTTATAACTACTTTATTTCACTAATCCCCATATTCTCTATTTCATAACATCTCCTGTGGCACCACATCAGACGGTTTACTGAGGTCTAGACTGACTTAACATATTTCTTTAAATCATGGTTTTTTTGAAAGAAGGCTAGCAGGTCAGCTGGGCACTATCTCCTGCTTAGCATGATCAACCCGCACTAAAAGTTATGCCATTTCCTATTTCATTTCTTTCTTATTTTATTCCTTAAAAATTTTGCTAAAGTCTTAGCAAGATAATGGTCAGGCCATTACACTTGAACCCACTTTGCTATTATTTTTTTTTCTTATTCTAATTGTACAGACTACATTTCCCCTCCTTCAAATATATGGCATCAGCCACAAACTGAAAGACTAAAAATTGTTTCTCACAGTAGTATGTATCAGCATCCTTGAACAAGGGTTACTCTCCAAGTTTTAATTGTTATTGGGCATATTCATTTATAATCTCTACCTAACGTTGCCTTTTAATTCCATCCTGCCTTTGCCTGAAAATTTGTCTTTACTGGAAATTAAAACTAAGTATTCTTCGAGATTTGGACCATACTTGGATTACATTTAATTTCATTCTCCATTTGCACTGCACAGAGCTTCTGTTTTTTTCCCCCATAAAGTTCATTTACACATTCAAGTAATATTTTCTTGTTATTTTAAATAACCTTCTTACAATCTAATTCAATGTAACTTTTGCTAATTGTCACTATAACGCCACACTTTCTCATAGCCAGGAGGTAGCCTTCGTGGTTGATCAAATCGTTTTTCTGTCCCTTTCAGGATTTTTGCTTACTCCAAATATTCCTTAAGAACTCCTTAATCATTCAGTTTGGCACAAATCTTTCCTTCCACCTTCCACCCTCCCCCATCTTATATGGATTGAAAGTTTTCCATTAACTTTTGCACTCTTGTCTAAAATAAATCCCAAACCTTTATCATACTCTGGTCTCTAAACTGCTCAGTCTAGCTGATTTCACTAACTAGCTCTCTCAATTTAGTTTGAAAATGGAAACCTTACTTACTCAATCTGCTTCTTGTTTACTAAATTTAAATGAACAACGCTGGATATTCCATCCAGAAGGATGGAATACCCTCCCATTACTAATAACATTCTTTTTCTTTTTTTCTTGTATTTTGGAAAATAAAGTCTCCCATAATAGGACAGTTTCCAGTAATAAATTTTTTCATACAATACACATATCCACATCTGATCCTGAGCATCCAGAGAAATTTCAACACTCTTCTGATAAAAAGCTTCTTCCAATTTTTCCTCCAAATGATTTAAAATCAAATCAGTCTTTACCTAAACGCTCACATTGTATTTCTTTGCCAGGTACTGCAACATTGAAGGTATGTCATATCGTTTCTATCATCCTGTAACAACACCTCCCCTTCCATACTCACTTTCCAGTAGCTATTGCTATTATTATTGTTTACCATCACCACATTCTCTAATTTCATAGTCTTACTTCAGATAATGAAGCTCCCACATTTTTTTGTTTTGCATTACTTCTTAAACACGCCTTTTCTCCACTGATGGTTTCGCTCTACTTCTTATCTGACTGCACCTATCTGAAATGTATCAATTTCTGTACAATCCTAATCAAGACCAAATATGGTGATGTCTATTCAAATAAAAATAATTCGCAGGAGGTGAAGCAGTTTACTGCTGCTCAGAATTTTTTAAACCATGAGTTGATCGTGATGTTAAAGTCAAAATCAATTCTGAGTCTCTCTGAATTACTATTTTTAACCTACTACTCTGTACAAATAATGAAAACCACCAAAGAACCTCGTAGGATTAAGTACTTTTTAGACAGAAGAGTGAAGCATTATAAACCTCCAGAACGTATAATCCAGCCCCTGCATTCCTCAACTGAGCATTAGCCAGTTGAGCATTAGCAGAAGTGGACTAACTGATTGAAAGGAAACCTCATGACACTTTAGGGTAGATCTCAGGATGTGGCTTAGACAGCGTTTCATTGATAAAGAATTAAGTAGATTTCTCTAGCTAACCTACCTGAAGAGCACTAACATTGCTAGAGGTTTGAAATTTAACAGGAGCACCACTCGAGAGAACTAGATTACATCCTGTACTACATCCAATGAGGCTTCCTTAGCAGTGGAACAACCATGTTCAATCTCTTCTAGAGCCATACGGGAAAATGCGATGATACTGGGCAACTGTTACAGGGACACAGCACACAGCAGTGGCTCGTGAATGCATTAATGCAGGTTAATTATACTGAGATACCTCAGAGGTATTCACCTACCACGCTAGGTATCTGTCCTGGGAAGACTGAGGACTGTGTTGTGCAGTATTTCCTGCTCCAAAGCGAAATGTTTGGACCTGAGACAAATATGGCCTCTGTATTTCTAGCTCCAGTCAATAGCACAACCATCAGGTAGAAGTCCAGGAATAAAACTATACTCTTATGTCATATTTTTATTTCTAGGAGATGTACAGACTTTGGTGGGGAAAGCAATTACAGCTTAAACTACAGATACCAAAATCACCTCAGCAGTTACGAACCAGCATAACAATTCTGAAAGAGTCCTATTTTACATCTCCCAAGTATCTGGAGAATGATAGAACTTGGTGAATAAAGACAGATTAGATTCACAGGACAAGAGGAAAAGAAAAATGTCTGAAAATGGCTACTGCACTGTTCTTTATCTTGGTATCTAGTTTGACTTTTCTTTTGGCAAAGTACAACGATGAGCTCAAGAACGTATGTGCAGGGATGGCCCTTGTTGTGGTAATCTTCCTGTCAAAATAATCAATAAATACACTGTGAATATAAAATTACTCACCATTTCTTTTGGTGAGTGACTGTGAAAAATCTTAATTAAACCCCAAGTGAGAGCAAAACGTGCCAAAAGAAAGGTCCTCTTACCATGCCTCAGTGAAAACTCAGGTATTTGGTGTATACTGGTTATATGGTTGTGTAAAAGTTTATGTATTTTTAAGCGAGAATTAGAAATACATTACTCAGATCCAGATTTGGAATTAGTCATCTTAGAGTAACCATCCAGAAACTTAACACTGATGAATGGATATTTTAAAAGGAGTATGAAGTGCTCATCTCTTCCTCCCCTCCTTTAGGATCAACAAATCATCGGAAGAAAACTCTCTTTTAAATAATGTTATGAAATCCCTTCTACTATAGTGAGAAAAGAAATAAGTCAATCTTGTATGGGATGAGTCCATAGAAGAGAACCAGAAATTGGATATGATATAGAACTGGAAAGAACATCCATGATTATTTCTAGAAAATGTTAGGCTGTAGGTCTCATGCTCCATATCCAGATTGCAGCTGTGAACACTTTAAAATTGAAAGGGAAGAGCTGGACTGAAAATGAAAACTCATTCACAATGCTTAGCCCGTATGCTGAAAAAAGTCTTTTGAATCTCTTAAAACATGAAGGGCATCTGGATCTCTTTCCTTTTTGAAGCATAAGTTTTAAGAATATCTCAAAAAATGCAAGACCTCTGTCATCTTTCAATTAAGTCATTTGGTCCTGCCTGAATAGTCAACTAGACTTTGCAAAGTAAAACAGAATCTTGGTGATAAAAGCTGTTCTTTCATCAGTATTCCAGAATGATCACTTGGTGGGATCCTGGGTCTGCTAACGAGTTTGAAA